ATTTTTTAAAGTCTTATAAGTGTCCCTTCTTCTCGTATGTTCTGATTTGAAAAATTTGTGTAACTTGCATTTCAGTTTTACAATTTTTGTAACGTCAGGTTGTTTGGAGATCGTATTCTATTTATTAATTATTTTTCATGTAATTCTTCTTTCATTCATTTAAAATGTATTTTTGAATAATTTAATTGTTTTTATTTTAATTAATGTCAACTACTACTGAAAATATTACTTGGGATATAAAGAACTAAGGACAGATGTGACTTTTAATTTGTGGTTTATGCTTTTTATTTTTGATAAGGCAATAAAAGAATTCAAACTTCTCGGCTCTAGAATCGATTTAACAAACATACGTTGATAACTCGATTTTCAGCCACATTTGTTGTCAACATTTCAACTCTCACTTCTGTACATTGATTGACGGAAAATTTCTCAATTTATAACATGGCACCGCAAAAAAGTACAATTTATCAGAGCAGCACTAAATACAACATACACCGTTTCAGAAATTGTATCTCTAAGAGGTAATGTCTCACACTTTACTGTAAATATATGATTGAAAGCTCTCGTAAAAACAAATTTTAAAAAAGTGGGTTAAGATAGAAAAATTTTTTGCTTAACGTTACAACTATAAAAATATTGTATTTTTTGTTGAATGGGTAATATTAGAGCATGACTTAGCCACAGACAAAAACATCTTGGAGACCCTCAAAAAACCACGCCTTGTACTCGGATCTCGTTGGAAAGCTTGAACGAGACTGTCTTTGACACAACGCCTGTACAAAGTTTGTGATGATTCACGCCATCAGATGACTCTTTCGATAGTCTATTATCATATTTTGAAGTTCTGGCACAATCGTCATGACTTGATGGTTTAAACTCAAAGGAATGACGATAGGCTTGACGGAAGCTCGAGTTTTTCCAGGCGTAGATAAGGGGATTGATTCCGCAATTGCACATTGCTATCCAATCTGTCACTGAATTTACCATCAGACTGGGCTGGTACTGTGGATTTGATGTTGTTATAATCATCAAAATTATGGTAGGCAGCCAACAGAGTGTGAAACAGCCGAGAATTGTGAGGACGACCTAGAAAAAAAAAAGAAGTAGAAGAAAAAAAGTTATTAACATCAGTTGAAGTGTTGAAAAATATCTTCAAACTTAAGGTTGGGTATAACGAATTAACGAATCATACGCAGCGTGTAATATAGCCATGGGAAAGTACCTGGTTGCTCTTATTGTAGCTGGAACTATTTCTCTGGCCGGTCTCCTTTGACCTTATTTATTCCCAAGGAGAGAGAGAGAGAGAGAGAGAGAGAGAGATAAAAGTGCAAGAATGCAAGCACGAGACGACGACGTTATCGAAGAACGCGCTCAGACGTACATAAAGGCGAAATTGCTCAAGGCATAAGCTGTTGCATTAGAGAGAATCCTGAATAATATAAAAGAGGGGCTGTCGTACAGCTNATCAGTTAAAGTGTTGAAAAATATCTTCAAACTTAAGGTTGGGTATAACGAATTAACGAATCATACGCAGCGTGTAATATAGCCATGGGAAAGTACCTGGTTGCTCTTATTGTAGCTGGAACTATTTCTCTGGCCGGTCTCCTTTGACCTTATTTTCGACCTTTGCGTGTGCGCCCTCGCTTTCCTCCAGATTTTCCAGTAAAGAAAGAACATACTGACCCAGACTATCACGAAATTCGGTATCAAAATGATCTGCACGAAGTAACTGCAATATCAAGTGGTTTTATTTAACTCCACGAAATGTGGACTACGGTGTACATGTATATATTTTTTTGATACCTGGGAATGACGGTACTGAGTGAACATCCACTTTCCGTGTCGTAATGATTCCAAAAAATGGGCACCACAGATATGAGGATAGCTGCACTCCAGTTGATGGCTATCATTACGAGTACTACCTTACGAGTCACATATGTCAGGTACTTGAACGGATAAACGATGGCAATGAACCGATCGATGGCTATTGCTGTTACGTTGTAAAGACTTGCTGTACAAGCGACACACAAAAAAACGTACCTGTTTGGAGAAAGAAACAAAATGAAATGTAATCCTGAATAATTGCTTAATAGGACTTTAGAATTTTAGACGATTGGAAATTTCATTTTGGAGAATAATTTTTTAATGTCATAACGGACAAAAAGCCAGATATCTATTAAACTTAATGTATGGCATTGGCTTTTAGTTTTGTCAGAGCAAAACATTGGGACAAGTGGTTATAAGCATAAATATTCTGTCTTCAAAGTAAAACAAATTTTGAAACTAGTATGAAGGTTGATCACAACGTGTATGAATATTCATCTAATATGTGTGTGCGTCATGAAGTTTTTTGATTTACTCAAGTAATTATTACCCGATTAGGCTCAAATTGTGTAGGTATTTTTGAACTTAGTTTTAAAGCTGATGATTTTTATTTGGACAGTTTTAGTATTCTTATGAGAGAAAATTTTTTTCAGTATTTTCACTTCAGCATTCTAAGAAGAAAAAAATATTTCTTTCGCGATAACTCCTTTTCCATACCTTATACATGTTCCCATTAAAAAAAAACTGTTGTATATAATGTTAAAATACAATTTTTGTTCAGTAAGTTTTTCACTATGTAGCTGTCTCAATAAACCCCAAACAGTAAAAAACCTTTTAAAATAGTCAGAAAGTTGTTTTATAACATCTAAATTTTCTATATTACATTTGTGGACAAAAAGTGTAATACAAAACTGATAGATCTTATTGAAATATACTTATTTATATTTAGCATTTTCTTTTCCAGTATCGTCCTAACACTGTATGTTATGACAAAAATCGTTTCTTGGATAGTCGTTTTATAGCATGTAATTTTTTTACTTTGCATTTAAGGACGAATGATTAATATAAAACTTATTTGGATGTGATGTTAAACTATAAGAATGATCTCAAAATCAAACCGTACAGTTAAAATTATACTTTTTGCTTAAAATTATTTTTAATTTCTATTGGAGTACTTTTTAACAGAAACTTTAAATTACAAAGGAATTTTCTAATTTTTATCATTGTACTATGGCTAAGTTGTGAGCACGAGAGAATAATTTCATGTTTGCAGATATTGTATTACAATAATATGCTGTAACTTGAAAATAAAATGTCATAATTTAGGGCTCAGAATTTTGACGTTTTGACACAAGAAATCCTAATTTTAATTAACATCAACGACTTGATCTGAAAGTGAAAAAGATGTTTGATAAGATTTTTTCAGTCCAAAGATTTCACTTTTCGATTTCACGCTTCTTTAATCGAAAGTTTTAATACGTTATTTTTATGTTACTTACCTAAGTATGCATGCAATCTTGGTATTGAGGTCTTCGTGAATATGTAAAATTAAATCGTAGAGGGTCGCGTGGCCAATAAACAGGTCCGAAATAGCGAGGCTCAGTATCAGGTAGTTGGAGTTGATTCTCAACAACTGACGGCTCAGTATCACGGCTAGGACAGTCCCTAGGTTGCCGATTACTATTATCACAAACAACACCACGTAGCCTAGTACCAAATACATGATGCAGCTCCTACTTGACAAACTATGGTAGTAAAAGTAACTACCGAAAAACGCTGCAGATTAGTTATGTCACGTGGAGATGACACATTTTCTACCTTTGACGATGTGTAATAACGAGTAATACACTTAGTTTTAATTCAAGCATTAAATTGTGAAAAACATGCGTCTATGAGCTACGCAAAATTTTTAATACATTTGCAGGTTTTATTTTTGAAAAATCATATTATTTTTGTCTAATTTATATGAATGCACTCTGTTCAAACCTTGTTATCTAAATTTTAAGTTGTGCATGGATGCGAAATATTGTATACTTAGACGTGAGCCCCGAAAGCTTGTGAAAGTAACTGCAGTTACATGCTATGCTATGTTTACGAGCACTAAAGTGCGATAATAGGGATGATTCATTGAGTTGATGGAGTTTTCTGTTATGTATTGTTTGTCAATGTTGGATGATAAGGTCTCGACACATTTGTATAATACATTAGCTTACTAGCTTTACAACTTTCTAAATTATCTTTTTATTTTTAAAATGACTGTTAAAAAAAGGATAGCAGATATATGAGAAAGACAAAATGTACTTTAAAAGGTGAATTTGCATGTAATACTAAAAAAAATTGTTTTGAAAAAAAAAAAAAAAAAAAAAATTTNATTTTACTGTAGGTAAGAAGCTCTAAATTTTTAGTCTGCCTCTAATTCTCAATTAAAATTACGCAATATACATTTTTCAGAAATTGTATCTATAAGCAGTCATATTTTAAACTATATCTTATACTTGTAAAACAACGATTCTCCATGAAAAAACACTGAAAATTTGTAACACGATTAAGACGTTTGGCATTTCCAAAAAGATCTGCTTGAAAGTAAGTTAAAGTACCCCAATCCTCATGTTTAGTTCATATTTTCAACTTGATTTTGTAATAACAGAGATTAAACTATTTTTCTCGAAATAGATGAATTAAGAACGTCACTTTTCCCGAAAAAAAAAAAACTATGAGCTACTCAAAAAACCGAATCTTGAATGGCTATGTCGTTATGAAGTTTGAACGAGATTGTCTGTAACACTACGTCGGTACACAGTTTGTGATTATTATTGTCCCTGGAAGATCTGTATGATGGTCCATGATTATCATTTCTACAAGTCTTTGAACAATCTATACGATTCCGTGGCTTGGATATAAATGAATGACGATAGGCTTGACGGAAGCTCGAGTTTTTCCAGGCGTAGATAAGGGGATTGATTCCGCAATTGCACATTGCTATCCAATCTGTCACTGAATTTACCATCAGACTGGGCTGGTACTGTGGATTTGATGTTGTTATAATCATCAAAATTATGGTAGGCAGCCAACAGAGTGTGAAACAGCCGAGAATTGTGAGGACGACCTAGAAAAAAAAAAGAAGTAGAAGAAAAAAAGTTATTAACATCAGTTGAAGTGTTGAAAAATATCTTCAAACTTAAGGTTGGGTATAACGAATTAACGAATCATACGCAGCGTGTAATATAGCCATGGGAAAGTACCTGGTTGCTCTTATTGTAGCTGGAACTATTTCTCTGGCCGGTCTCCTTTGACCTTATTTTCGACCTTTGCGTGTGCGCCCTCGCTTTCCTCCAGATTTTCCAGTAAAGAAAGAACATACTGACCCAGACTATCACGAAATTCGGTATCAAAATGATCTGCACGAAGTAACTGCAATATCAAGTGGTTTTATTTAACTCCACGAAATGTGGACTACGGTGTACATGTATATATTTTTTTGATACCTGGGAATGACGGTACTGAGTGAACATCCACTTTCCGTGTCGTAATGATTCCAAAAAATGGGCACCACAGATATGAGGATAGCTGCACTCCAGTTGATGGCTATCATTACGAGTACTACCTTACGAGTCACATATGTCAGGTACTTGAACGGATAAACGATGGCAATGAACCGATCGATGGCTATTGCTGTTACGTTGTAAAGACTTGCTGTACAAGCGACACACAAAAAAACGTACCTGTTTGAATAAAGAAAAAAAAAGGAATCAAATCCTTAGATAATCAAAAGGTTTGTATCTTTAAACAATCTTATATATTATCAAGAGAACTGTTCATGCTTGGGCTACGATTGGAAATTTAATTTTGAGAAATTTTTGTTTATATCAAAATATAAAAAAGCCGATGAATACCTAAGACTAATACTTTTTGATTCCAAAAATACATCAAAATACATCGATTAAACTTCTAAAGCCTGAATGTCCACAGTTCTCATTCATATTCTAGTTCTTACCGTATGAAACTGACGTGACACTCTGAATATTGAAACTGTTTTTTGCCTGGAAACTCTATTTCAAAGTATGCGGTTCTAAAGTCAAGCGTTAAAGTCATTGTCTATGTCCGATTCAATTTTTATCTTTTAATTTTTGTTTTAACAAAAACCTGCAGCTAATTATCCTACATAGTAATTAAATATAGCTTTCTAAGTGTATAAATACCTTTCATTTTAGAGGTAACTACACTAAAATATACATACACGTATGTATAAAAATATAGCTTTCACTATGTGACCGTAGTAGTAGATAAGTTCACTAGTTTTCATGTAAAATTTTCTGAGAGAAATAATAAAATAAAGTTGTATAGTTGTATTTAAATTAAAAAACTGATTCAGCACCTATTGTACATTATTTTTTTTAAGTTTAATTACAAAAAAAAAAAAAAAAATGTCGAGACTATCTTTGATTAAACATTAATTGTTTGTAACCTTCATGTAGATGTAATTCCATAAACTATTATATTTTCTAAACACAGAGTTAAAGTCTAAGACTGAAAATTGTATCGTTTCGATATAACGAAACCTAAGATTCATCCATAACAATAACTTGCAGCTGAAAAGTCCTCTAATTTTGATCAGATATGTTCAGTTTGAATATTTTATTTTCTTCGAAAAATAGTGCATTATCTTAACGTTACTCACCTAAATATACATGTGGTATGGTTATTGAGGTCTTCGTGGATGTATAAAATTAAATCGTAGAGGGTCGCGTGGCCAACAAACAGGTCAGTATCAGGTAGTTGGAGTTGATTCTCAACAACTGACGGCTCAGTATCACGGCTAGGACAGTCCCTAGGTTGCCGATTACTATTATCACAAACAACACCACGTAGCCTAGTACCAAATACATGATGCAGCTCCTACTTGACAAACTATGGTAGTAAAAGTAACTACCGAAAAACGCTGCAGATTAGTTATGTCACGTGGAGATGACACATTTTCTACCTTTGACGATGTGTAATAACGAGTAATACACTTAGTTTTAATTCAAGCATTAAATTGTGAAAAACATGCGTCTATGAGCTACGCAAAATTTTTAATACATTTGCAGGTTTTATTTTTGAAAAATCATATTATTTTTGTCTAATTTATATGAATGCACTCTGTTCAAACCTTGTTATCTAAATTTTAAGTTGTGCATGGATGCGAAATATTGTATACTTAGACGTGAGCCCCGAAAGCTTGTGAAAGTAACTGCAGTTACATGCTATGCTATGTTTACGAGCACTAAAGTGCGATAATAGGGATGATTCATTGAGTTGATGGAGTTTTCTGTTATGTATTGTTTGTCAATGTTGGATGATAAGGTCTCGACACATTTGTATAATACATTAGCTTACTAGCTTTACAACTTTCTAAATTATCTTTTTATTTTTAAAATGACTGTTAAAAAAAGGATAGCAGATATATGAGAAAGACAAAATGTACTTTAAAAGGTGAATTTGCATGTAATACTAAAAAAAATTGTTTTGAAAAAAAAAAAAAAAAAAAAAATTT